AGCGGGACCCTCGGAGCATGGCCCCAGACTTCAGCCTTGGGCTTGGGTCCATACTCACAGCAGGAGCCCAGACACGAAAAACAGGAGGAAGGTGTTCTCCACCACGTGCTGATGGACCCAGGCAAACCAGGTGATGTTCGGGTTGGACTTTTCCAGCACTTGCACCCAGGTCTTCCCTGACTTGTAGATGGTTTCCATACCCCGGAAGGGACCGCAGGTTTCCGACGGCCGCACCCTGAGCAGACAGGCCAGAGAGGCTGGGCGGGGAACCTTGGTCAGCCAGGCAGGAGAGGCTGTGAGAGCAACAGGCAGCCCCCTGGCCTCTACCCCCAGCCCAGGGCACTGCCACCGGCCCAGGGCACTGCCTGGCCTCAGATGTTCACCCCTCTGGGCTCCAGACCCGGCCTGCCTTAGCCATCTGCAGTGGCTGCACAAAGGGTCCTCAGCCCCTTGTCCTGCCCAAGTCCCTCTTCTTTGCCCGGTGGCGGGTGGCTCTGTGCCCCAAGCTGTGGTACTCACGACCAGATGGTGTAGGAGAGGAAGATGGCTGCACCCAGGAAGGACGGGAAGCACAGCAGGGTGATGAAGACAGTGCTCATGTGAGATGCTTGCCAGGGCTTGCTGGGGGACTGGCAGTTCTGCATCAGGCTGGTCTGCAGGCAGGGAACAAGGTCCTGAGTGCTGCTGTCTCCAGGGAAGCAGCCTCAGGAGGGCAAGTGGGACAGCTGCCCCCTGCCACCATTCCAGCCCTCCTCCCTGCCGGGAGCTGAGTGAGCCCGGGGACACCCTGTCCCCCCCAACACCCCCTGTCCCAGGAGCACAGCGCTGCACGAGGCAGCACCTCTGCCGTGGCACGGGCAGCCCATGGCAGGCACCGTGTCACCGTCCCCTCGCAGCGGGGCTGCCACCGTGGGGGGACACAGGGGGGCTGTGCGGGGACAGCTCACACCTTTTTGACATAAAACAGCAGCAGCAGCTTCACCATCTGGACGGCCGGCAGGAGTGGTGTGAAAAGAATGCCCAGCCTGGGAGAGAGGGGGAGATGAGCTCGGCCTGCAGCCGGCGTGGGCAGTGCCAGGCCCCGGTGCCAGCTGCGGTCAGGCTGTTGTAAAGCAAAGGGTAAAAGTGCAGGATGCCCTGGGCCGGGTTTGCTGCACGGCCCCTGCTGGGGCTGGGGCTGGGGCTGGGGCTGGGCAGCAGACCAGCATTTGCCAGCAAAGAACGAGCCGTGCCAGGCAGGAGCTGCCTCACCAGGTTAGAGTCTGCCCGTAGATCAGCTCCAGCACATTTCGGGCGATGTCAAACTCAGGCCTCCGCTTCCTCTTCAGCCTCTTCTCCAGGATCAGCCTGGGAAGGAGCAGAGCTCTGCTCCCACACTGCTGGGGGGTGCGCTTCCCCCCCAGAGCCCGGGGGCACCAGGGCAGCAGAGAGCCAGAGTCATGCAGGGATGCTGCCCCTCCTGTGGCACGTTACCTCCAGACCAGCTCCCCGAAGAGCGTGTCCAGCAGGGTGAATATGAAATCCATCACCACAAAGCGATACAGCTCCTGCCCCACACACGTCTCCCAACACTGGGGACACAAGCACAGGTGGCATCAAGCAGGCAGTGAAGCCCCTCCTCCCCCACAACCTTCCTGTGGCCCCCATGGCGTGTGAGGGGCTGTGGGACCTTTTCCCCCCAGCAACCCTTCCCCCAGACTCCCCACGCTTGGGGTGCCCCTGTCTGGCTGTCGCCCCCATCTCTCCAGCAAAGGAGTGGATAGTGCCCGTGGTGCCCCTGCCATCTGCTGGGGCAGTTTGGATGGCGTGGCCCTGGGGTGGCAGCACTGACCTCCTCTGTCGAGCAGACAACTCTCCGGCTGAGCCACTGGTAGCAGAGCAGGCCAAGGATCACCATCTTCAGAATGAGGTTCCTGGAGAGCAGGAGCAGGGCTGGGAGCCCCTCGGAGAGAGCACCCAAACCTCCCCCGGTGCTGCAGAGGGAGGTGGGAGCTC